GTGTGTGTGTGTGTGTGTGTGTGTGTGTGTGTGTGTGTGTGTGGTGTGTGTTGTGTGAATATATATATATATAATACACACATAGTGTCTGCCTGTCTCCTCTCAGATTACCCTTTACATTAAAACCAGTCAGGGGGAAAATGACTACAGACCTGGGCCAGCGTCTGCCCACCTGGCCCCTCAGCAAGAGGAGGGGATGTGGAGCCAGAGGAGGGGATAAAGAGGAGGATAAGGGGATGAGGAGGTGGTTGGGGGGAGGGGGGTCAGAGGGACCTGGTGAGGGGCTCTGATCTGGTGTCAGCTTCACGCAAGAACCACTTCCACTTTGGTTTATGCTGATGCTACACTTTAGCGGTAACTAAGAGTAACTTAAAGCTGCTCTTATCAATGTGTTATACTAACAACGGATCAAATGAATGAGTGTAATGTGAAAGTGGTGACTCCTGGTGACGAACAGACACATACTCATCTGTGTCTCTGTATTAGCTCATTTCTTTTGGTTTCTGGGCGCAGTTTAACTGTTTTGATTGGCTCTCATCTATTTGAAACAACATGTGTCTGTTTTGAGCAAAGAAAGCTCTTTTAAAACCTCTGTACGGCACCTGTAAGGCATCCAGTGGCATCCAGTGGCATCCAGTGGCATCCAGTGGCATCCAGTGGCATCCAGTGGCATCCAGTGGCATCCAGTGGCATCCAGACAAAGTTAGAAGCTAACTGGCTAATATAAAGAGGAGTATTTAGCAGATAATGGGACAGCATTTTAACATAGGCTTGGTGAGGAGCAAGCAAGAACAACATCTGAGTGAATATTGGACATGCATTCTCCAACACGTCTCAAATGCTTATATTGCTATGTGTCTGTTGTTGTAAATAAGCAGCTTTTTGTTCATATTTTCAGCATATCAACTTAAAAAAGTCAATATGTTAATGTTGTGTTAAAAACGGTTGTTTACTGCCTCCAAGTGGATCAAATGTATAAATACATCCAGATTCAAAGTGTTATCTACAGTTGAGGCCTAAATTATTAGCCCCCCAGGAGCTATGGAACATTTTTTTCCTAAAATTCTTCCCAATGTTTCCAGCATTGATAACACTTGATATAATCAAACATTCACCAGTGCTATTTAGTAGCTTTTGGTACATTTTGGAAAAAAAAAAAATATATAGTGAAAAATGGGTTGGTCAAAAATATTAGCCCCCATGTGAATTTTTGCTTTCAAAACACACCTAATCAACCAATCAGCTTTCAAACCACACCTAATCAACCAATCAGCTTTCAAGCCACACCTGAGCATTCAATCAGCATCAAAGGACTCCAAGAAACAGGCACTTGAATACCTTATTGAGAGGGACTATACTACTACTCCTACTCACCATGCCAAAGACAAAGGAAATCAGTCTTGAGCTCAGAAAGAAGATAGTGGAGGCTCATGATAAGGGGGAAGGCTATGCTGCTATTTCCAAGCGCTTCACTGTGTCTAGAACTGCTGTATGTTGCATCATTGCGAAGTACAAGGAGACAAATTCTGTAAGAAACAAAAGCGCAAGATTTCAAGAACTCTGGAGAGGAAAATAGTCAGAGATGTCAGCAAGAATCCCCGGACATCTGCCAAGATGATTGTTGCTGACCTGGCCTCTTCTGGAATTGATCTTTCAAGGAACACAGTTGTGAGGGCTCTTCATCGTGGTGGGCTTCAGGGCCATCGTCCCAGAAGAACCCCTTTACTCAAAG